CTTGCTCATCACATCTCATCTTTCGCCTCTCACTGACGCGTCTCCGTGTCTCATCTTTCGCCTCTCACTGACGCGTCTCCGTGTCTCATCTTTCGCCTCTCACTGACGCGTCTCCGTGTCTCATCTTTCGCCTCTCACTGACGCGTCTCCGTGTCTCATCTTTCGCTTCTCAGCAATGTGTCTGTGTTCTAATCTCTCGCCTCTCGCCGGCGCGTCTCCGTGTCTCATCTTTCGCCTCTCACTGACGCGTCTCCGTGTCTCATCTTTCGCCTCTCGGCAATGTGTCTGTGTTCTAATCTCTCGCCTCTCGCCGGCGCGTCTCCATGTCTCATCTCTCGCCTCTCAGCGACGCGTTCTCATCTCTCGCCTCTCGCCGGCGCGTTCTCATCTCTCGCCTCTCGCCGGCGACCATGCGTTCACGATCCTTGACCCCCCCCCCCCCGCTCCGCACAGAAACGTGTTGTTTGCGCTGGCGAAGCAGGCGCGCAACCTGGGAGCGTACCGGCTGTCGCGGCACACGTTCGAGCGTCTGCAGCAGCACCGCGTGCCCGCACACATGCAGAGCGCCATCGACATCGCAAGCCTAGCCATCCGCTCTAAGCCGTTCAAGGACAGCGAGGTGAGTGTCGCGTCAAGGTCAGATAGAAGGTCGGGCGGCTGAACCGATGGGGTAGCCATGAAGCCCTGCCCTCTCAAGAGAGAGAGAGAGAGATGTGGTGATCTATGAGATGTACTCCGGTGACATGATGCATTACAAGGTGAAGGAGAAGATTACTCGCAAGTTTGACTGCAACCTGCTTGTCGTCTGCTCGTCCCACATCATACTCTGCCAGGTGTGTGTGCTCTCTGCATCAAACAAGCAGGCGTAGAAATTAACTTTTGAATACGGGAGTCCAATGGACTCCCTGCCCTCAGAAAGAGGGAGTCCGCAGCAAAATGAGGGAGTCCGCAGTCTGAAGTTCAAAACTAAAGATATTAACAATAATTCTGTGCTATTAGCAATACCTGTCCTCTGTAGCTAGAGACTTGGCAACCTCTCACACTTGTCCAACATGCAGCATTGCAGTGGAGCTGCAATTGACCCTCTCCTCCGTAGCTACAGACTTGGCCACCTCTCACACTCCCTTCTACCCTTTCGATTCACTCAGCAGCATTGTCGTAGAGCTGTATCGTATCACTGAGTTACGCTACACATTATCTGTCAGCAAGAGATCGAGAGAGACAACACAATAAGACGCTCACGTTCTCTATGCAGGAGAAGAGGCTTCAGTGCTTCTCCTTCTCGGGAACGAAGGAGCGAGAGTGGGTTGTGGAGTCACTCATACGCTACATCAAGGTGATTGGAGGTCCGGCTAGCAGGGAGGGACTGCTGGTCGGCCTGAAGAACGGCCAGGTGAGTGGCTCGCGTGCATACCAAGCGAAGTGCTGACACGTTACCTACGACGAGGTCAAATGAACGAGGTTGTACGGTCGATGGAATGTCGTGACTCGAGATGGAGTGTCGTGCAAAGGTTGTCGCGTTTTAAACTCGTAATAAGCACGGCTATTTTACGATGTTTCATGATGACTGACAACCAGATTATGAGCAGGTTTTAGTGGAATGAGACGTGGATGTACGCTATCAGCAGATCTTCATGACTAATGTTAGGATGTTATCGGGAGGGAATACAAAAAAGTCTTTTTATTTTGTTCTTTGAAATGCTTAAGAATTTAGAATTTAATAATTAATGTTTAAGTGTTGCCGGTTTCATTTTGTTTTTATTCACTCCGGATGTTACGATGCGATTGCTCTCTCTATACATCCTCTTCAACGGGGTTCATCGACTACTTACGACGTTACCTAATGCCCGCGCGCCCCCGCCGGGTCTCCTGCAGGTTCTCAAGATATTCGTCGACAATCCGTTCCCGATCATCCTGCTGAAGCATCAGACGTCAATCCGCTGCTTGGACCTGAGCATGAACCGCGCTCGCCTGTCCGTTGTTGACGAGAACAACGTCTGCCTCGTCTACGATCTAGCCTCCAAGGAGCTGCTGTTCCAGGTACGGTTAGAGGGGTGGACGTAGGTTCGGGATCGGTGTTAGAGTTAGAGAGAAGCACTATATTAGATAGTAGTGGTAGAGTCAGGATTAGGGTTAGGAGTGGTGGAGTAAAGCTAAGGTTTATTGTTAGGGTGACATGGTTTAGGTTAACTTCGTTAAATTTGATACGAGAATATTTTGAGGTTGTGTAGACAGTAGATGTAAGTTGTTGGGGTAGACTATTAAAATTTACATTAATTGCTCGCACGATTTGATGTTACCCTGAATTCGTGTTGTAGCTTGCGCAAGTTAAATTCATTGATTGCCCGAGTTGATGCTTGTGTTGTGTTGTAACTCGGTTGAATTTGATATGAGAGCATTTTGAGGTTGTGTGGGTGAAGACTTAATAATATCATTAGTTGCTCGCCTGATTTGATGTTATGCTCTCCATGAATTCGTGTTGTAGCTTGCACAAGTTAAATTCATTGAATGTCTTGTTGTTGTTTGTTGTTTGCCTTTGTTGTTGAGTTGACCCTAGTCTCGTTGGTATCGTACCAGGAGCCAAATGCGAACAGCGTGGCATGGAACACACAGAACGAGGACATGTTGTGTTTCTCCGGGGCTGGCGTGCTCAGCATCAAGGCTGGAAACTTCCCCATCCAACAGCAGAAGCTACAGGTAAGTTAATTAATCAGGTAACAGGTATTACAGGTAAGGTAATCAAGCATGCCTGACACTTCGTCGGAGACGGCGCGTGGTCGTGCAAAGCGCCGGTGGCAATGCAATCTCTTCGTGGTTTTTGTAGAACTTGTCGGGCGTGGCTAGACGGTGTTTGTATGTATGAGGTTATGAGGTGCTAGTGTGACTGTGTCGTTGTCATTGTTTACCTGTGACAGGGATTCGTGGTTGGCTTCTCTGGATCGAAGATCTTCTGCCTGCACCTGTACAACATGACGACGTTTGAGGTACCGCAGTCGGCACCGATGTACCAGTACCTGGAGAAGAAGAACTACAAGTAAGGGGTAGGGGCTGGAGCAACGGATGAAGAGGCTGTGAATTACATAGATAGGGTTGGTGGTAGATAAACTAAATAGATGGGGTACATGACAGAACAGACAGGCATAGAGAGAAGGCAGCGAGAGAGAGAGAGAGAGAGAGAGAGAGAGAGAGAGAGAG